AGTTAAAGCCAACGTGGTCTAAGAAACAGTTCCCTAAATGACTTGATTTTAAGTTCCCTCTAAGTATCTATACATATGTATGCAAATGCATAGAAAATTTTCTGAAAGGATTCATAAGGAATACTTTGGAAAAGGGGAATGGAGTCAGCACGTTTGTACGGAGGTAGACTTCACTCTGTATTTCTGTACTGGGTATTTTATAATGGATAAGCATTCATGCACTTCGTGTTTAATTTTCAAAAAATTAAAAGAAATGGAAGAAATTTTACTTAAAAAAATTGTTTCTGGTTACCACATTGATCGCTTATGGAAAGAATGCTGGTCTAGGACTCAGTTTACCTGCTAAAACTTGCCTGTGGCATTGAACCTGAAAGGTTCTCTGTTAATCTGTAAAATGAGGTAGTTGGATTAGATCATCTCCTTGATTCCATGATTCATCTTGGGTTAATGAGAAGAAAATCAATCTGAATTAGAAAAAGTCTAAATTAAGTTGTACTAAGCAGACATTTCACTTTTTACCATTTAGGTAAATTAAAAGTGTCTCCAAGTCATTCTTGACATTCTGGTCATGACTGTAGAAGCCTCCCTTGCAGACTAGAAGAGCCAGGAGGGAACCCTGAGAGCACTGTGATGTGGGGTTAGAGCTAAAATGGTTTGTTGTGTTTCTCTCATTTTATCAAGCTAAAATGAATTCCACGCTTTCCTTTTGTATTTGCTTTTTTTGTTTGTTTGTTTAGTTTTAGTTTAGTTTAGTTTTTTTTTTTTTTTTTTTTTTTTTTTTTTTTTTAAGGTAATTCTCCCTTGTTGAATGAAAGAACAGCTAGGGTGGGGTAACCTTTTGCTCTCACTTTCTGAGTGTGGGTTGAGATGGAAAGCTATTATAATAGAGGTCTTCCAGGTTCCAAGGCACAACAGAAAGACTACAGAAGGCAGTTTAATCAGCCCATATTCTAAAATGCAGCAAATAATGACTAGAAAAGCTTGTTAGAGACCTTTGTCATTCCCATTTCAGGGAATATTCTAACTTATCAGACTTGCTGTGGGAGAACTGTTAAATCTTTCTGGATTTAGTCATGCTAGCGTCCTGCTCAGGAAAGGGAAGCCCAGCTGTGTGGCCTTAGAAGTATTCAAGAATGAGACCACGCTTTTGCCTCAGAGCTTAGGGTGGAGTTCAGGGGGAAGCCTGTGCCAGGAAGTCAGTTTGAGGAAGCAGACACCTAGGAGAGTCTCAGACACCTGAAAGGACATGCCTGCTTAGGGTAGCGAAGGTGTCTGCTTACTGAGCACACAACTACCTCCATTGAGCACAAAGTACCCAATGGATGCTGTTAAAAGAACACCCCAAAATCTCCCGGTCAGCTTTTGTTCTTCTAGGGTGGTCCAACACCACCTACCTCTGGAGCATTGCTTATATTTTCCTAACAGACTGATGAACTGTTTGATAGTATGGAAATAAACTTTAATTTGTCCCTTTCTGTATAATTCCAAATTAAAGTGGATTTCTGTTGTTCCGCTAACTACAAAACACGCCTAGTCAAATACCCTCATAGTTTTTTGTATGTTTCTTTTTTAATATGGCACTTTCTTCTTATCACAGCTTTTGCACTTATTACATAAGATGGTATAATCATAGTAATTCCTGTACTTATTATCTCAGGCACAAGTGTGGAATTAATGTGATTTTTAACATTAATTTAAAGTACATTTACTGTGCATTTGTATTAGATCTTGAGTTTGAAATGAGCTTCTACTTATGCAAGCAGCAAGACGAATGCCTAGATTTTAGTAAAAATAATAGTAAAAAAACCTAATTTAAAGTAGATGGGAATTTAATCTCTTCGATTTAAAATCTCTTAGCTTGAATCCCTCATTAGAAGGGCTTCATAAAAACAAGCTGTAAACATTCTCAATAATTAAGCATAAATATATGATCTATGATAAAGCTTGGCCCTTAAGCCATATATGCTTAAATATACAAAATTATACTTGTACTCGATTCCCTCTTGTTATTTTATTAGCTCCATCCTCCAGTGAAATGCATTTGTGTGTGTAATTATCTTGCTCCTATGCCTCCACCATGGACCATATTAAAAAATGTTTCTTCCCATAAACTGTGAAGTATTCATTGATAAGCCACAGGGAACTTACACTATAACATGTCCTTACCAATTAATGCTGTTGACTTGGTTTATGAGGATTGAATTATTCATCAGAATCTTTTTATATTATGTTCCTGCAAGCTAAGACTTAGAGCACCAACAGGGTGAAGAAAACAGAATGATCTTACTTAAAAAACAGTCACCTCAATTGGACCCCTGTACTTTCCACACTCCATAATGATGATTTGCTCTTAAGTCCCACTGTGTATGAACATGGAGGGGTGCTCATGAACACCCCCAAAAAGTCCAAATTAAGCTGATGTTTTGTGAGGTAGGGAAAAACATTGCTTTGGGAGTCAGACAGTGTGGGTTTTAGTTGATTCTACTTTTGTCACTAACTAGAATTGTGACCTTCGGCAAGACCCTTAACCTTTCTGGGATGGTTTCTATAAATTCTAAAATGAGGGCTTGGCTTAGTGGAGTGTTAAGACTTCTTTCATTATAAAATATCATTACAAATCTGCAGTATTTGTTTAGAAAGTACAGAGACAACAGCTGGTCTATTTTTATGCATGCTAGAAATAATCACACAAAGTGAAAAAAAAATATGACTTGAAACATTCAGGAAATACTGTGTAATCTTCTTCCCCCACCCTCCAAAGCCCTTTGGTTATATCAGGTTTGGTATATGAAATTTTGATCACTTAAAACATGGCAGTTTGTGATCAGAACAAGCATCTGCCAGATATGAATGAGCTGGAAGGACCATCTCACCTCACGTATGCTAAGACAATGGCTGGTGTCTGGTACAACGTAGGAATTTTTGATCACTACTCACTTGGGATGTCTTTCAACTAAATAGTCATTTAGGTAATATTTTTAATATTTTTCTTTACTTTGTATTAGAAGTAGAGTTAGCTATAATTAAAATATTTTGTATCACGTCTTAATTATAGCAAAATTTCATAGAGCAGTCCTCAAACAGCGGTTGTAGTCAGTGGTTCTGACTACAACCAAATACTTCATAGTTCTTCCCTCTCCTTTCTGTCTTCTGTCTATTCAGGAAGGGGTGGTGGTTATTTTAGCACTGGCTCACGGACCACTCCTATCTCTAGTGGCTGGCTTTCAATCATCTTCAAGAAATCTGCTTTCTTTTTATTTAAGAATGACAGGGTTAATTGGAAGTAAGCCCAGCCTTCACAGGTTTTCTTCTCTTTAGCAAGTTCCTTAGTTCCTTCCATTCTCGATGCTAAGTTAGCAGGATGGTTATAAAGGGGTTGATTTAAAGGTGACTGAAGACAGATGCTGAAGGGGAGGGTTTTCTTACTTTTCAAGGAGCACAATTTAGGATCTTAGAAGAAAGCTTAGGTCCTCCTCTGAGATTGAGGTGAGTTAACACACAGCCTTCAAATTACCAAGAGGGGAGAGGAGGGGCATTTGGGACTGTGTGTGATGGTGTGTGTACATGTGTAGAGAGGAGCAGAACTGAGGGCTGACTGGCTCTAACTGCATTTTGTCCCCATGGCTAATGGAAGGAGCTGGCTTGTGCTCTGTCCAGAAAAAGACAAATAAAATACAAATTTGGCGGACAAGGAAGATGTAAATTTCAACTGAAGAGAAAAAGAGGGGGTGGAAGGAAGCTGAGAATAATGAAGGCAAAGAAAGTACTGTTTTTGTCTTTTTGAGAAAACGTTTGGTTTCCTTGGGTAAGGGGAATTATGTAAATGTGAACAGTGGTAACAGCATAATCCCACCGGAGCATATTTTATGTCACAGTGAAATATATGTCTGAGAGCTGTCCAATGAGTAACTGTCATTTTTTTAAAAGCTATCCTCCATACAAAGAAAACAGGTACTGGCAAAATATCGTCCTCTCAAATGTACTGACTCCATATAGAACTGAATTGAAACAACCTGAATTGAAACACAAGAATGTAATTCAGATATAACTCAACAGATTTGAAGATTTCAAGGTTATAAATTGTTATTTTCAAACAAGGACCATTTAGTAAAATGCAACCCTAGGAAATAACAGCTGGTGCTGGACTTTACATCCCATACCACCATGTACATATGCATATATATAGGCTGAAGACACAGAATGTTCTATGTGATTTGTCATTTCACTTTTAACAAAGTGCTAAATCAGAACGGAATTACATTTTTCATACAATACTTAATGCGACTATATTAAACATTTAGTCACCTTTAATATAATTATTTAAGAGCCTAGTAGATGAAACTGTATTTCACAGAAACAAGGATAAGTTGAGATCGAGACACAAATATGTGCTCTGAAGTCACTGGGAAGCACTTGCTCACCATAATAAAGATGGCCAAAGGTTTCCGACCTAATTAAAAATAAGGAGTCATATAAGAAATGGCTTTATTAGAAAAAACGTAGTGTACACGTGGCTAAATTTTATCATTGATATACCTGTTGGCTATTTTATAATTAAAATCTGATATAGGGTTTAAACTTCTTTAGAAGTTAGTGGCATTTCTTCCTATTCTGATATGTGACTTCGGTAAGGTATGTGATAGATACCCTTTATTTCTTCCCATAATTACAATTAATCAATCAGTAGTTTAGCACTGGCACAGAACATAGAGGGCATTATTTAGGTAGTGCTTTATGTGTAAGATATCCACACTTCCAACCCCAGAACCAGGCACGGGTATGCCATTTAGAGTCTTTAAGCCCCCTATTATCACTCAAGTCCCACATTATTGTTACCTAGTAGTCATGAAATGAATATGATCATCTGTAACCTGACAAAACCTCTGAGTGAAGCTTCTCTCTTCTCCTTTTTTTTTCCTGTTAGGTGTGCAACTCCAAGCAAATGTGCAGTGTGCCGTATGATTTGCAGTCCCTTTTCAAACTCCTTCAAGTCTGTGCTATTAAACTGAGACAACCACATCAAGATAGAGTCTGTCATAGGATTCCCTGAAGCACAGAATGAGGAGGAGACTGAGCAAACACGACCCGGGAAGGCACCAGTTGAACCAAGACAACTCTGTAAGACAAAAACACACAGTTGTAAGCATTCACACGTCACCAGCAGAACGGCACCTGTATGCCGGGAGCAATCGCTATGCATTATTCCAAAGCAGTTACACTAAATGCATCATGGAAGGCCTGGAAACCAGTGTTCAATAAACGGCGATCTGGAGTCTGGGTGATACATATGATGTATTATACCGCTTTCATGTGGAACATTTTAAATCAATATTATTAATAACTTTTCATCAGTTTAACTCACCTTGACCTTGGTGGCAAAAAAAAAAAAAAATCCATTTCTTCAAAGAAAAAATAATCAATCACCTTTAAATGTTCGTTTGCTATTTTTTAATGCTATCACTATCACTCTCATCTCTGTTTAGAAATATCTGATGGGTTAAAGATAAGAAAATGACCTGAATTTTGAGATAACTTTTTTAGATTTCCTTGGACAGAAAAATCTAGTGCTTAGCAAGTAGTAATGATTGTAAAACAGGTTAGAAAATGTATGAAAAAAATAAAGTAAAATCTAACAAATTAATCCTAATTCTACCCTCAGAAAAACTACTGTGAATATTTTGGTTTGTTTCTTTCTGTTCTTTTCTCCCCCCTACCAGCATAAATGATGCCCATTATCTGAAAACCTGCAGGAATCCTCTAAACAGGTGATTCTGCCATTACTTGCTTTAATGGTATCAAGAACATCCTTCTTCAAAAATGCTCGCTCGTGAATTCAGGGCTTGCCTACAGGCCAGTCCCAGCCTTGTGCTAACAAGACACACCCACTCGCTGTGGCTGCCCGTGGCTGCCTCCTCCAGCTCCCGTGGCCCTTGAGCTGTGCATCCATTTGGCTTCCTTCTACCCAACCCTCCTTGGCAGGCAATGCTGAGGCTCTGGGAGCACAAGTGAGCGGCTCCCTGGCATGAAGAGGTTGGGTTGGTGGTGGTGGGGATAACTTCCCTAGTTTAATATCTATTTAGCAATTTCAATGAAAACAACAACAACAACAACAAATGAAGGGAAAAAGCTCCCTGGTACATTTTTTTCCTTTGGGTACTGCTATAGGTTTATATTTTCCTTTTGTACTTCTACAGAATACTAATACTGCCTTAATCTTCAAAAATCATCCTAAAGATTTCTACACTGCTGCTTTCAATCAATCCATAATTCATATGGCTAAAAGAGCAATTTATGCTCAGGAATGGAAATCAGAAAACCAAGTGGTAAGAAAAGGTGCTGAAATACTTTTTTTTCTGTAATATGCTTACAAAAGCAGGCTCCCCACCTCTCAATTTTTACATTTTAAAAGTCAGACATGCTATTCTATAGCATACAACAAAGACATATATTTCAATCGTATTTCTATGCAAAGCTGTTTCTGTGCTTTACTTGGATTGAGTATAATCTAAACACCCAGGAAGGCTGTGACCCCTGGAATCTTGTCTTTATTCCAATATCCCCTGAAATGACACACCAGCATTTTCAGCTTTTATATTAACCATGTAGCTTCTGGATTTCTGATGATAATTTTAACAGGCAAAAAGAAGCAGTTAAAAAAAATAAGAGAAAAAGCAGTAAAATAGAACAGCATACTGTTTATATTAAAAGTGAACATTCTGGGGACGCCTGGGTGGCCTCGGTTCCGAATTCTGCTCAGGTCATGACCTTACGGCTTGTGAGTTTGAGCTCAGAGCCTGGAGCCTGCTTCATATTCTGGGTCTCCCTCTCTCTCTCTGCCCCTCTCCCGCTCATGCTGTCTGTCTCTGTCTCTCAAAAATAAACATTTAAAAAAAAATTTTTTTTAAGTGAACATTCTGACTTTTAAGCAACAGCTAAAATAAAGTATGGTACTTGACAAAGTAGTCTACAACAATGACATTTTCTAAATCTTAAGAGACTGTATTTTATGGGGAGCTAGAGTAACACACATATAGCAACAACCAACTTGTCCTTGCTTTCCTCAAACCTAGAAATTTATCGAATATTGCGAAAGCAGACCTTTTATTTCATCAGAGTTGTAAATTATTCCTTCTCCCTGGGTTCAGATGAAATCTATAAAAATGCCTCATAACTGCTGTTTAGTGTTATGGTTTACAGTTGGTTTTTACTACTGTGCCTTCCTCTGAAAAGTTAAGTCCACCTTTTAGTTAAGTTCACTTGGATCAACCAACTACAAGTGTTCTTTGAAATTATTTGCCATTTCAGAAAGCAAAAAGGTATGCATCTATATATTTTCCCACTGAAAACCGTTCACATGAACCACAGCTTAGGTGCTCTAATAAGCAGGAAATGGCTTGCTTAAAAGTTTAACATGACCTTCCAGTAGCAAAGTCACCTGCTGTCCTTTCTGAGCCTGGTGTCATATGACATAATTGAACCAAGAGAATCCTGATTCATTGAAACGTTCTTAAACTTGACACCTTTTTAAAAGGAACACAGCTTTCTAATATTCCTTCTTTCGGTCTTTCACTAGAGAAAGTACGAATCCATTCTACACAGTTTGCCTCTCTCTCTATTTTTGCTGGTTCTCTATCATTTATTATATATACTGCATCCTGAGTACTGTCTGCCAGTTTTACAGTTTAGACAGGTGCTATGCTATGTTTTACTCAGTGAAGTGGGCTCTGCACCAAATGGTGATGTTCTTCTGGGATTATCTAATTAGGATTTCGCTCATCCTCTTCCTTTTTTTCTTCTAGAAGCACTCTTATACTCTTCATCTCATCTTTCCCTTTAATGATGTTATGCTTTTGTTTTCTATCACCTTTGAGTACTTGTCTGTTCCCAGATACCACCCTCCGGAACCAACCTTCTACTTTCTTTGGGGATTTAACCAGAATTATGATGATTTGACAAAATTGCCTCTATTCATCCTCAAGAAGAGCCAGCTGACATCATGATCTCATGGTATAATGCCCTTCTGTCTTCACTCCACACTAAGTATCCAATAGGATCTAACCATAATGTTGTATAATTACTCCCTACATATAAAATTACTCCTGACTAGTCCATACCTGGTGAACCTATTCTGGTAACTACCAGTCAATGCCTCCCCCTCAGCCAGGCTCCTGAATCTTTTGAGCCACAATGCAGCCTCAGATTCATGTGGTCAGCTACTTCAAAAATGAAAGGCCAGAGGTAAAAACGTTTAGTTCATTTAGCCAAAACCTGCTGCAAAGCTTCTAGAACAACAGCAACAAAAAATAGCAAACAATACAAACTTCAGAACAAGCTACAAACTATCAAGTAGAACATGAGAATATATTTCAAAGCATATAAAGAACCTAAGAGCACCCTCAGACTGATTTTGTCAAATTGAAGTTATTAGAATAAAGCTTCATTGCACTGTCTGAAATAACTCACTGAGATTCTCAAGGCAAACGTTATACGAAGCAACTCAGTTTTATAAATATGCTTATATTAGGGAGCAAGTAACAGTTTTTGGCTTCTTTTTTTTCTTTTCTTTTCTTTTTTTTTGAAAGTGACCTTGAAAACCCCAAGACAGAAAAACTCTAAAAAACTTCTGACACTGTTCCAGGTACCCCCAAATAGAATAAAAACAGGACATGGGAGACCCTGTGGCCCAGGGCTCCAAAGAAGCCAGTGCCACTGGCATAGAAACTGGTATGACATCCATCGTCAATGATGGCAATGGCCATGATCTGCAAACAAATCACCAGTGGAGGCTTTCTTGTTTGGCAAGCCATTCTAATGTGGTCATTTTGGGGCTAGTCTGTATAGCCCTGGAAAATTATATCTGACACAGTCACCCACTAAGTAGCACGTTGTGGGGAAATAAAATGCTAGTCAGAAAGTTTAGTACTTCTTCAAGGAGTGACCTACGAAACCAGAGATCTTCATGATGATTAAAATACAGGCCTTCCAATCACATAACTGACGGAATTGAGTCCTGACATGTAACTAACTTCTGGGTGAGTTTTTCAAGTTTTAACGTGACTGAATTATGGCATTTGAATGCTGGCTGTAATGGAAGGGACTTCCATTCATCCTATGAAATGTTTGGGGTACTGGCTGGGGAACTGAAAGTTATTTTTAGGAGATAACTTTGCAGAATCTTCAGACTTGTAATGTATGTATCCTCAAACCTCAGTTGTGAGGCATGTGAACTCCTGCTACAGGACTTTTGGGGCGAGATCAACTAGTCATACATGAAAGAGCCTCAACAAGGTCTTCATGGTTCTAGTAACCTTAGCCTTAGAGAGATGTGGGCATATTTGTATGCGTTTATTACACACACTAACAAATAAACATGTAAAAGGCATTTTTTTTTAATGTTTATTTTTGAGAGAGTGAGCAGGGAGGGGCAGAGAGAGAGAGAGGGAAACAGAATCCCAAGCAGTGCGCTATTGGCACAGAGCCCAACACGGGACTGAAACTCACGGACCAGGAGATCGTGACCTGAGCCAAAACCAAGTCAGACGCTTAACCGACTGCGCCATCCAGGCACCCCTAGAAAACAGAAGCCTAGGGGCACCTGAATGGCTCAATCTCTCTCTCTCTCTTTCTCGCCCCCAACCTGCTCACTCTCTCTCTCTCAAAATAAATAAACTTAAAAAAAAA